TCGTATTATTTTTAGCAGTAAAGCAGTACTACTACTTGCAACGTCATTTTATAATCAGTTTCTGAGGGTATAGATTTTTGTCCAAGTTCTTGAATTCTTGAATTATTTACATATTAACAGTTATCAGCTTCTCTTTATTTCTCCATTTGTTTCAGGTTTTAATATGCTACTTTCCCCTCTCTTAGTAATAAAAAAGTGGGAATACAGATAATGAATAGATTTACAATGCCATAGCTGAGGCTGGTTGCCTTAACTGTGAAATTTTACATGGGTTTCCCAGAGGTTTGCTTGCTTGTTTGCTTGCTCGCATGCTTGTTTCTTTTGAGGGATTGAAGAAAAACACATGAAAGGAGCACCATCCCTAAATAGTCAGGCTTTGAAGTTTGGGGGAATTTAGTACTTTCCCCAAGGAGCAAGGCAGGGAAGAGGCAGTTGTGCCATCACACATAGAAAGATAGGAGAGACTGCAGGAGCTGGAGAAGACCTGGCTCAGGGGCATCTCTTCCCTGTATAAGTAGCTGAAGGGAGGTTGTCCAGAAGACAGAGCCAGGCTCTTCTCAGCCCTATCCACTGGCAGGACATGGGTAATGGATGTACTCTTGAATATGGTCAATTCCATAAACTTTTTAAGCCTGAGAATAGTTGAACACTGGCACAGGTTGCCCAGGTGGCTGTGGAGTCTCTGTCCTTGGGGGTGTCCAAACCCTGGCTGCACGCAGCCCTGAGCAACCTGCTGTCAAAGAAACCCCCAGGCCCTTCAGCAAAAGCCTGATTCACTCTAGCTACCTATAAGGAAGAGCACAGGAGACACCAGGACAGCACTACCCAGAGCCCCACCAGGATGGCCTCCAAACACTGGTTGTATCTGGTCTGCACTGGTGGGTCAGCACGAAGCTTGTTCCAGAGGAAAGCACTGGAAGAGTCAAGAAACTTCCATAATGGAAGAACATTCTTAATGTGTTCTTAATCCTTAATGGTAAATGAGCCTTAAAATGCCTATGCCGAGTCTGTGTTTTCTCTCAGAGGTTCCTTCCAACTTCAGCTCTTGAACATTCTAGGAATGGTCCAAGGTTGTGGACCAAGCAGCAGAGCACACGATTCATCTAGACATTGTAGGATATTAGAAAGCCTTCTAGGAGAGTGCTACAGCGTTTTCTTCCTTGTCCAGAGCAGCCCGTCAGTCCTGGCTACACCACAAAAGAATAGGTAGCATTATAGTGGATTGCGTTTCCTTCACGTATTGTTCTGGAACAGACGGATTGCACAAGTCTTTGCCGTTTGGGCTTGCAGCCTTTCCCACTGACAAAGCCAGCATTTTCCTTTGGCATAAACACCACACCTGTGTGCTTGCAGGGTGCCATTGCTCGGGAATGTGCGGTAGCTCGGCGGGCTTTCTGCTACCAGATGGAGCTGCTTGGGACAGCAGATTCCTGTAAGATAAGTTTTCAGCAGCAGGCTAATACACAGAAGGCCAATAGCTCAGATTTGAGTGTAAAAATGACTTTGCAGAAGTTGATACTGCAGTAAGATGCATAGTTCAATATCACAACTCTGCTGGCAGCTACATAGTTCCTAGATAGCACCCATAGATGGTTCCCTTAACCTCATGCCACCTTATGGTAGGGACACTGGTAAAATAGGGAAAAAATTCACAAGCACTGAAAGTAGCATATTCAAGATGACTCATTGTCCTGATCCAACCTGCTTCTTACTTTTAACTTACTGTTTTTACTGCTGGTCTGGTCGGTTATTGACAGCTTTATAGATGGGAGATGTTTTTAGCCTTATCTTTTTGACTTTTTAGTGGCTGGATCTGATTACGTGTCTACGTAAGTGATTTCAGTAATTTCTTCCATGTTGTTATTCAGATATTTATTTCATTAAATGGAACTTGATTGCTTGTTAAAAAAAAAAAAAAAAAAAAAAGAAAAAAGGATTTGGGAAGTCCACTGTGTTTTTGTTTGTTTGTTCATTTGTTTGTTTGTTTAAGTAAATGAATGTAATACTACACTTCTTTGAAAAATATTAGTTGCCCTTCAGGAAGCAACTGAAGCAGGAAATCTGGTAAGTGGGGGTGTATGGATCAGTTACATCTTTGATTATATCAACAGAAAAGTATATGATTTTCATTTAATTGATTTCAAAAACGTGATTTACTGCCTGAAAAACTGTGTGAACTTTGTGCAGCTGCAGCACGTGTCTGCATCTGACAGGAGAACAGGATTTTCCTTCTTCCTTCGTTTTTGCAGGGTGTAGGTGCAAGGAGAGCTCTGATGTCTCCTTTGCGCTGGGTGCTGCCGCCTGCTCTCTCGATGCTCTGCTGCTGGGCCCATGCAGCCTGGCCCCGGTGCGGCAAGGCAGGACAGGCAGCGCAGCTTGCATTATTCCTGTCCTCCCCAGCAGCATGTGATTCCTTTTGTTTCTGGATATTCTGAACTTCTGTTTACTGTAAAGATGGTTTGGTGAGGAGGTTTACCGTTATGTTTTGACTGTTGCACTCTTTATACCTGAGCAAGTAACAAAAAAAAATGAGGCACTTGTAGGTTATTCCACTGAGGATGATAATTTGGTGATAGCATCAGATATCTTCAATACAGTTATGTTTGCTTACAGAAATATATAAAAATATATTGTCATAAGCACAGCAGATCTCAAACCACCAGGGGCAGTGTACTGCAAACAGCATCAAGCCCCTTTCAGCCCTCAGCAAGCAAAGGGTTTCCTGGCTCCAAGCCTTTCTTAGGATGCTTGTGCTGGTTGTGCTACACCTTTCATGATACGACACCTTTCATGCTCCTCCATAGACTCACACACCCTTCCCAAAGCAAACAAATAAGTTTTATGCCATGCTTTATGCAATGCCTTGTTTCAGCTACCTACTTGCAATAGAATTGCAGAACCATCTCAATATCAGTGCATAGCAGCTCCAAATTGGCTTCCCCATCTTGAGGATCAAGCAGACCTTGCACATTCTGCATTATGGACCTGCCAGAATGCAATGCCCAGGGCATCCTGCAGCCGTGTTCCCGGGATGTCAGTGCCCAGGGCATCCTGCAGCC